AATAACATTTATCAACAGTTAAAGGTTGCCTGAAATGTAGGATTGCACTGGATCTGACATGCACCAACTAGTCTAGTGTTGCAGGGACAGCTTGAATTGTGATATTTCCTTTATTTGAATTTTTACATACTCTGAAAAACACTTAGTGCTGCACAATTAATTGAAAAATATGGCCAAGTAATAAAGGTAAAATGTGTGATAAAACAGCATTATAACTAAGTACTGTAGTGCTGCAGAGATGCTCTCTCAAGAAATATCATATAATGATGATTTTAATAGTTTTTTCAGTGAAAATGAAAATTGTGACGCAAAAATTACATTTTTCAAATCACAATCATAATATCTTTTAAAACATTAAATTTTTACCATATCATACAACCCTACTTAGTATCAATATCTCTTGACTCACCATGTGGACAGTAAAAAGGTCCTGACGATTCAGCATTGGAAGGAAGTAGGACCAGGCGGTGTTCTTCGTCTTTTTGGCGTAGTCAAAGAAGATGTTTACCCGCTGATGGTTCTCCTGAATCACAGTTGAATTCAGATTTCAGACTTACTATTTATTCACAGCTGGAGAAATGAATAGACTGCATGGCACACGATCCAACTTAATACCAATTTGTATTTAAAATTAAAATTTCCTCTTTGTAATAACAATAATTACTAAACCGACACTCAGTTGTGCCTAATACAAGTAAGAACGTCAATATCTATTTCGTCATTTAATTATTATTATTTTTTTAAATCATGACATTGCCCAAGACTTCGTGTGCACACAAAACTTCAATCAAATCTCTTGGTCATATATATATTTATGTCATGCATGTCCTATTTGTCCACAGTCAGTGGGTCTCTCTGCGTACCTGCAGAGTGTCATCAATCAAAGTCAGGATGTACTGGACTGTCTGCTCCTTGGAGATGTGGGCCATCAGGTTCAGAAAGGTCTTCGCACACTGAGCAAAAACAAGACAGATAAAAACTCAGACACAGTTCTCATGTTCCTATTGACTATTTTATTCTGCCTGGCACCTCTAAAAACAGTCCAAGGACTAACTCAGCAAAATACAAGATGGTGCATCTGAAGTGTATTTACAGGTACAGCAATAGCACAGCAGAACAATGGAAGCAGCTGCACTGGGGTGGGGATGACAGTATTCAGCAAAATATGAACCAGAATAGTCCAGTTTAAAGATGTTTCAAAAGACAACATACTTCAAGTAAAGTTCAATTATACAACTCTTAAACTTTGACAAGAGAGCAACAGATTACTCCTTCCTCTCTCTCTCCGTCTCCTGTTTCAACATTTACATGGTAAATTGTACATTACCACAATGCCCCAAGGTACAGTCTCCCAGGTATTCCACTTAGTATGTGTATTTGTACATGCTGTAATGATATTATTTATCTGAGAGGGCCTTAAGACTTCTTTATGCAATCAGCTGGCTGCTAAGCTTGAAAGGCTGTGAACCAAAGATCAAGTTGAAAACAGCTGTAAAGAAATCTAAAGGAGAACGACTAAAGCATGTGTTCGATGAGAATAATAGCCAAACACAAAAAAGCACTGATAACTTAACGGATTTGATACCTGATGTCCTTCATTGGTCAGAATGACCTGCTTCTCCTCAGAGTTGGCCACCTCAAACTTCTTGATAAATTCACAGTCCTCTGCAGATATCATCTGACTCCTAAAAGAGAATTCATCGAGACGTCGCCATTTAATTGTATACATTTTTAAATTCGTACAACCGTGATGACATGACTGGTTAATAACGAGGCATTCAAAACATTCCCTTTACCACTGGAGCAAGACATACAACATATGCCACTGACCCTGTTACTGGAGGAATGGCCTTTGCCTTATCACTAGCATGCTGCTTCTAACTGCAGCTTGCACAATAATACCAATTAACCTGGAAATACCACATGTTCTAGTTAGGGCAAAACAAACCATGGATGATACACGGAGGAAGGCAGTTGAAGTAAAGACATAGTATATCCATACTAAAAACAAGGAATGAAGTCTTTAAATGATTTTAGGGTTTGAGGAATTATAATTTGACTCATAGGCTCAAAGAGGAAGTATCACTCAAGACAGTGAATCACAATACAGGAACTAGAGCAGAGCTGATTTAAGAATGACAAAACTGCACTTGGTCTGCAGTTATTACACTAAATATTCCGAAAGATGGATGTAACGAGAGCTTCACTGCCTGACACGCTGGCTTTAATAGATAACATTAAGCAGAACTCCCTTTTCAGACACTGTCAACAAAAACAGAACATATGTGAGCTTTGTAAAAGTAGAATTCATGGCAGAGATGTCGTAATGAGTTGCATTAGACTGTACAGGTGTGCAGCGATTGTACGTTAATGCGACGTGCTGTTTCAATGTGTACTTACTGCAGGTAGGACTGCCAGTTGACCAGATTGGCCCGCACCTCGGCTGCCTTTGCAGCGATGATGTTGGTGGGGACTGCAGCGTCCACAGCCCCGCGGATATCCATCCTGTAATATATCTGCAGTACAGTACACGCAAAGATCCAACTCCACCTGGATGGAAACACCAGAGTTAACATCAACACAGTGACTCAGCCAGGTGTTGCAGGTGTTGGCCTTAATGGTATTAATGGTAAATTATTTGTAGGGGCATCAGGGGTTGTATTGTTTGCTATAACTGGTTAAAGTGCTCTACCTACTATTTGCAGCTTGTAGCTTGTTGTGTTTTCTACAATACAACAATACAACCCCTGATGCTCACACTGAGTTCAAAATGGCACAACACTTAACTAGGTTGGTCAGCTGTTACAGAGCTGTTACCAGAAAGAAAGCTATCAGTCATATAGGAACTTTTGAGCTACAAATAATTTACCAATAATTCCATTAATACTACAACGTGTGGCAGAATTATCAACCTTAAATTTCCCCTTAGAAGTTTAAGCAGACAAACAGCACAGCATCTGAAGCTGAACCCGCTAGCATCAGCTCATACCAGATCTAGCCTAACCCCATCCCAATGTCACGACATGTCCTGGTGCGTTTTTAAAGATGAGGCGATGCACTGCATATTCCAGGACACTAAACGGTGTTGAGGCTGTAGCCATATCTAACGCATACATGTAAAACAACAAAATTATAACGTCAAATGTGACACAGCAGCGTTGGCTCAGCGTTGGCTAACAGCACGGAGCAATGTAAGCTGAGGATGCTAACCTAAGCTAGCCGTGCCAGCACAGCTCGCAGCCGTTCAAAATGACACCAGTCAGAACATAACACGGTCGTAATAACATGTTCAATGGCAGAAGTAGACAAAGCACACAAGTGGGGGGTTAGAATCTATCTGATATTGAAGAGCGGAGTACAAACTCGGTTAAATTACTCACCCAGCTAGTGTCTTGCGCGAACAGCTGACTGACTACAACACGGCGTCACGCTCTGTCATGTGACAGTCGGTCACATGAGCCGCAGTCTGGCCCTCAGCACAAGTTAGAAAACACGGATACGATTTTACCACTAACCTCCTGAGAGCCAAGGGAAAAAAAAGTGTTGTGGTATCTGAAGGCTTATAAATTTAAATTACATTTTGTTGTATGTTCAGATTATATTTTGTCAACATATGTAGGGTGAGTAGTTCATGAGGATGATATAATATGCTTCTTTGCTGAAATGTTTAGGGGCCCCCTCTCGATGAGATTTATGTGGCATTTACTGTCCTTAAATCTTTAGGTCAGGGGTCCCCTTGGATCCTCTCCAAGCTCCCGGGGCTTGAAATGATGCTGTACCTTTTTGTAATAAACCTTTTTATAAAATCAAGACGGTGTCAGCAGACTTCTCTTCAACACATCTTCACAATATCGCTACTTAATATACTTAATATACTTTTTTTGGTCTCAGTCTGAAAAAAAAGTTCCCCTTATCCAATCCTAACACTTGAGATATCATTGGAAAGGCCAGGAGGGTTGCTAAAATAAGTCAAGAGATAGGCTATAGCCCAAAAACCAATGTCCAC